CCACTGTTACAATTCGAGATTACCCCCCCCCACCTCCCACCCGGTCTCAAGTGGCCGACTGTGGAGGGACCTTACAAGAGAGTCCCTTCGCACCTTCTCCCAAGGCGCTGGCGGGCAAAAGGTCGGTGTGAGGAGAAAAGGAGTGTGCCCGTCCCCCCAGAAGGTGCAACAGCGCTGCTAATGCTCTCTTGCCCCGGAATGGGCTTTGAACCCTGGTGTGCCGGGCATAGTGACCCTGGGGTCAGACTTCCAGTGATACCTAGCCCCCAGCTCCCACACCACATTGGGGTTGGTGGACGTGATGTTTTAGCTGCGTGGAAACTGTAGCCCAAGGAGCTGAAGTTACTCATCCAAGGTCACGCGGCTGCAAGGGCTGAGGACCAGGTGTGTTAGGGAGATGTTGTCAGGTTGGCTTTTTGTCAGCTTGAAACAAATCTAGGCATTATCTCGGAAGAGAGCCTCCCAGTTGGGGAATTGTCGCCATCAGATTGGCCTGTAGGCCGTCTGGGTGGGCATTTTCTTGATTAGTGATTGATGTGGGAGGTGCTACCCCTGGGTCCTAGGTGGTTTAAGAAAAGCAGGCTAAGAGCGGCGCCATGGAGAGCAAGCCGGTCAAGCAGCGTTCCTCCGTGACCCCCCGCTTCAGTGCCTGTGTCCAGGTTGCTGCCCTGGCTTCCCTCCGTGGTGGGCAGGGCTGTGGAAGTGGAAGCCAAATAAACCCTTTCCTCCACGAGTTGCTTTTGGTCCTGGTCACAGCGATGGAACCAGAACCAGAAGCAGAGGATCCCAAGACAGCAGCCCTTGGGCCCAGGCTCATTCAAGCTGTCTCCTAAAGAAGCTTCTAGGAGATGCAGCTCAGGGGAAGGGAAGGCTGAGAGTAAAGATGTGGCAGGGATGGCTCGCAGGAGTCTGAGAGGCGCCAGGAGTATGGTGGTGATGCTGATAAAGTCAGACAGGGAAGGGAAGCCAAAACATAGGAGTTCCTCGCACATCTAGAGAAGAGCTTCAAATTGCTTTTTTTTTTTTTTTTTAAGTCCATGGTAATGTGTGGTCTTGAGATCAGGCACTCCCAACACTTGAGAGCTTGAGGCAGAAAATCTCCAGCTCAAATCCAGCCTGGGCTACATAGTCAAAAGTAAAAACAATAAAACAAAGAACAGAGAGCTCTTTGGAATGGGGCCTTATCAGATGCCCGTCTGGTGTTGTCGAAAAGGATTAACTCAAGGCGTTTGGCTTTCATCGTCAGCCCTCTGCTCAGACTTGCTTGTGTTGGGCTCCACTTGTAGCACACGGCTCCTCACGGAGTCCTTCAGCTTCGCAGGTTGAGAAGGAAAGCAGCGACTCGTTCACCGCTCTGAGTAATGGCCCCACCATGCTGCCGGTCGTCCAGGGTTTGTCAAACTATGGCCGTTGTGATCGTCTGCTTTCTGCTGCCATCACAGAGTGCCTGAGAGACGTCAGAGGAGGGACTTACGATTTCAGAGGTTGTCATGCACTGTTGCTTCACCTGGTGGCTGTGTGTTATATGCCTGTGTGAGTTTCTATGTATGTGTCCCTGTCTGTGCATGCCCCCACAGAGGCCAGAGGTTGAGATCCAGGGTCTCTTTCTATGGCTTTCCATCTTATTTACTGAACCTAGAGCTCGCTGATTAGCTGGGCTGGCTAGCCTGTGAAACCCAGAGGTCTGCTTGTCTTCGCTCCCAAGGTGCTGCTGGGGTTAGGGATGTGTGCCACAGTGCCAAGCTTTTACGTGGGTGCTTCATGCTTTCACAGCAAGCGCTCTACCCACTGAGCCACCTCCCTAGCCCCTGCCCATTGGCTTTTGTGTGTGTGGTAAGGAAGCAAGAAGAGAGCTCACTTTTATAGCGAAACCCTCCTCCCCAGGCCCATTAAGTTTTGAATCTGTCCGTTGATTTATTTATCCATTCATGAGGTTAGATCCTTCATGATTCAGTCACCTCCCAAATCCCACCTCTGAACATTGCTACACTGAGGACTAAGCCTTCCACACATTAATGTTTAGGAGGCATTTAAGAGCCAAACCATAATGGTGGTTTTGAAATGACTTCCTGTCCTTATCCAGATCCAATACAGTAACTATAGGGGTTGTAAGCTAACTCCAGACCATGTTCTCTCCAGCTTGCCTCCCACAGCTGCCAGATCCTGGCAGCATGACTTCTAGTTCATAAAACTTAATAAGACCTCATTAGCAATGGGCCATAATCCAAACTTCTCAGCCTGGCATTCAAGGCTCTCCATGGTATAACCGCAGGCTTCTCTTCTAAATTTATTACCCACTAGCCTTCTTTCCTCATCTTTGATTGACTTGTTTTCTAATTTGTCTTTTGTGTAGTCTAGGCTTCTCCATATAGAATATATGTACATACATCTAGGCTTCTCTATCTTAGAATGCTTTTCTCTCCGTCTCTGTGTGTCTGAGTCTTCCCTATCTCTTAAACCTCTGACTTAGTACTGCCTTCATGCAGTCTTCCATGATCTTGAATACCAAAGCATTTTCCAGTGTTTACTATGAGCCAGGCACTCATTAGGTGCCTCACGGGTTCTGTCTCCACTCATTCATGGGATACTGACTTTTCACAATAAACCTGTACAGTAAGCGGTGTTGTGATTCATATTTTAGAGATAAGAAAACTGAAGCACAAAAATAAGTGAATTGTCCCAGGTCTGGCCAGTAAGTGGTGGACACACAAAGGAACCTGAGCAGTCCTGTTTAGAGCTCTCTTTCTCAACCACTGTTACAATTCGAGATTATCTTTCCTATCTCCCGTTAGTGCTCATAGCCTGCCATACAATCTTCTCTAAGGGCAATTCAATACTTTTTGCTCATTATTGGGTAACATGATTTATTTTGCCTATATACACAGTATGTTTCTTAAAAGCATAATCAATACCTAATCTGCAACAGTGCCTGGTAGACAATTTGTAAATATTCCTAAATGGATGGATATACAGTAGAAGAGCAGTAAGGGGGGAAATGAGTGATCTGGAGCAAGATCAACAAGCAGCTATCCTTGGGCTAAATCTGACCCCTCCTATTTGTGTTTGGACAGAAACTAAAAATGGCTTGACATTTGAAATTTTATTATTTATTTATTGTGTACAGGGGGAGGAAGACGAAGAGATGGAGTGAGAGGAGGAGAGAGAGCGGGCACATAGTGCCATAGTGCACATGTGGAGGTTAGAGGTCAATGTTAGGGAGTTGGTTCTCTACTTCCACCTTGTTTGAGGTGGGGTCTCTGCTGCTGTGTCCATTGCTGCAGCTGCTGTGTACTCCCAGCTAGCTGGCTTGAGCACTCCCAGCTCACTGCCCTATCTCTGCCTCCCATCTTTTAGTAGGGTGCTGGGATTACTGAGGTCACCACCACGTCCAACATTCTACCTGGGTTTGGGGGCTTGAACTCAGGCTGTCAGGCTGGCACAGCAAAGGCTTTTACCTGTTGATCCGTGTCCCCAGCTTTGTTTGTACATTTTGAATTGTTGAAAGAAAAAAAAATAATGCTGGATATGATAGCACATACCTACCTGTTTGCCCAGCACTTAGGAGGTGGAGGCAGGAAGATCAGAAGTTCAAGGGTGTCCTTGGCTACATAATGAGGTCTAGGCCAACCTGTCTCAAAAAAACCAACTGAACAGACAGAAGGAATCAAGAGAAGAGTAGAATTTCACAGCATAGGAAACTCATGTGACAAGATTTTGTCATAGTTCAACTAGGCTTCCTGTGAAAGCCCTTGTGCTGCCATGGGCTTTTATGATCCACAGAGCCTAAAGAGAGCCTTGATCTTGAACTATTATATATCCTAACATGAAGACGTCTCAGAAACAACTGGACAGAAAGAATAAGCAGTATGATGCTACTTATAGCACATTAAAGTAAATGCCAGCTTTGCTGAGGGACACACCCCAAGTAAAAATACAAAGACGTGCATGAAGACAAAAACATCCCATTGAATTTGGGTTGTTGGGGATTTAGGAATGGGCATGTCACCAGGGAGGACTCCAATGGGATTGTAACTGTTTTAAGCATTTCTAGTTACTGGGTTATTCAGTTTGTGTTTAAAACAGCAGAGAACATTAGGAAATTAATAAAAGAGTTCAAAGACCTTTTAAATAAAAGATTCTACTTTAGCCACAAAAGATTTCATGTATAGGTAGTGTGTTATGGGGAAATAAAAATCCTGAGTCTCCAGCTCTGCTGAGGTTGTCATGGATGTGAGTATCGTTCGGAATCTAACTTCTTGTGTGTGGGGTGGGAGACATGGGGTGTGTGTGTGTGCTGTGTGGGGGGTGGGAGTGGGGCACACATCCAACAGTGTGTACATGTGGATGTTAGAGACAACTTCATGGAGTTGTTTCTCTTTTTCCACCTTTATGTAGCTTCTAGAGATCCTGCATTATCAAATACTCTGCTGAGATTTAGCTATTTATATAAAAATGATTTGCTTTTGTCTTTGATAAATGTTTACAAAGAATTGTTATAAAATACATTGCTTTATTATGGAAATGTTGGATTTGTACACCCATTTTTTTCAGACCTAGCTATTCAAGGTCGCAAAAGGATTTTTCAGGCAAGAACAGGTTGCAAGTAGAAAAAGTTTAATATCATAAGAGGTGTCCTGATGGGTGGTACCTTGAGAACAGAGAGCCTTGGAAGGAAGTCCTTCTGACTCATGCTTGATTACTTGCTCTACTTCCAAGGCAGAGCCTAGAATATACTACTGAAGGGATTATGGGTGCTGATCTCTGTCCAGGGATCCTTCTATGTAAGGTCAGTTACTCTCATCCTTAGGAAAGCAGAGTGGACATGATATGTGCATCCCTGAGTCTTACACACTCTTTTGTTCAGTGGAATTTTAGTTACCTAGCACCTAGGTTGCAAAGGATAGTTACAGCCTGAATCCGAGATGCTCCTTATCAGGGAAGCAAATGTTTTCATAGCTATGATAGCAAGACTGTTGCTGCATGAGCAGTTAACACAAACTTGGCAGCTTCAGACAATACCTACCCATTAACTCTTGGCTCTGGAGGTCAGAACTCTAGCCAGTGTGACTGGCTTCTCTGCTCAGTGTGGCCAAGGCTGAAATCAAGGCATCTGGAGCCCCTGTGAGGGCAAGGTCTGCTGTGAGCCCCTTTGGGTTGTTGGCAGAATTACTTTCTGTGTGGTTGCAGCACTGAGCTCCTCAGTGTTGCTCACTGTGAACAGAACTGCTTTAGGGTCCTTGCCACGAGGCCTCTTAGCTCATCAACAGAGAACCTCTCACACATTAACTTCCTCTCATCCTTTGAATCACTCTGATCTCCAGGCCGAGAGCACTCTAACCTTTCAAATGACCTATAACTGGCTGTTTGTAAATGCTCTTTCTAGACTGAAAGGTTCTTGAGAGCCAGGAACATCATTCAACCCCGATGCTCAGACCAGGCTTGGCAAGGAAGACACCGTACTTTTACTTTGCTAAAAAGTAAATCAAACTACATACTGTCCTTTCACTCCCTGCTTTTCTCTCAGAAGGCTCACTGCTCCCTCCTCTGGGTAGTCACTTAGTAAACACCAGCATATGAAATGTAAGGCATTGTAGTATTTTTAAGTGAGGCTGGTTTCCTTGGACACACAAGTTACATTTATATTCCACACTTAGCATCCCAGGATACAGCCATCATAGATGTCATTAATTGTTTAATGTTTGGGTTTTTTTAAAGAGGAAATCAATGGGCTTTAAAGCTTGGGAAGCAGCTGGAGAGTGAAATTGGACAGATGCTGTGACACTTGGGGTCATAAGTAAGAAGAACAGAGGCAATGGAAAAGGGTAAAAACAGGCAAATTAATTAAGATACAAGCTTTTTTGTTTTTTAAGGATGCCAGAAAGTCCAGGTCTGATGTTATGTTTATTACATTAAGAAATTAAACCTGGCAGAGCCTTCCAGAAGGACTAGCAAACAGGAGTGATTGTGGTGTCACTGCCAATTGGAAGAACAGTATTTTACTTTTATTGCGTTCTTCATCAAGGGGCAGAGCCGGTGAAGGCAGTGAAAAAGCACAGCTTCTGGTCCTCAAAGAGAGGGAGTGGGATAAGGAGAGGCATGGACACGGGCTTGGCGGCCTCCCTCTGGGTTCTGATAGTGCCCCCCTCACATCTTCCTGCTCATCTTTTGTGACTGCTTTTCTGCTTCAAGGCTGTCTGAGGTCATTAAGTGGGCAGTTCAGACATATCATCTATCTTCCAAATCTGGACCTGAAGAAGGGTTGGAAGCTTTTAAAGTCTGGTTTACTGGGAACTATGAACCTATTGTCCCCTCACAAAAACTGTGATATGAACTGGCAGGTACAACACAGTGGAAAATGCATTAGCCCTGACTCCGTGATACACCACATGACAAGAAGTGGCAGCTTCTAATGACCTCTCCAAGTCCCAAGCCTCTCTAAGTCTGTTCATCTGTAAAGAAAGGACAGTGTACCTACATCACAACTTGGTAAGTGTTGAGCAAACAGTGGCTCTCAAGTATTCTTTGCAGGGCCATTGTGTTAGATTGTTTTACTTGGAAATAGTCTCACTATATAGCCTAGGCTGGCCTTGAACTCTGTGTAGCCTAGGTTGCCTTGAACTAATGATCCTCCTGCCTCTGCCTTCCTAGAACTGAGATTATAAGCTTGGGTTAACCAAACCCCGATTTTATTTCTTATCAACTCATTAGACTCTTCCGTGCTTCTTGCACTCCATCTATACATCTCAGCTATCTTCATCCTTAGGCACCCATCAGAAACAAGTAGGAGGGTGTCAAAGGTTAACCAGATTCTGATGCTAGAACTGGAGATGACTTGGCCTGCCAATACACATGCTTGAGTTTAGGAAGCAATTGCAGGACTAACCAACGAAAGGTAAAGCAGGGATTCAGGTTGCCCTTAGGTGGTAAGATTCAGCAAGTTCACTTAGCCACTCTGTATGTGCAGAGCCCACATGATTACTGAGGAACTACTGAGTGGCCCCATGTTTAAGACTATTGGGAGAAATGTCAGCATAGCATGTACTTCTCAAGGCATTTAGAGTCCAGTTGGGACAGAGTTATGATTTATTACACGGGGGGACCCTCGAGGGTATCCTGCATGTGCAGGGATGCTGGGCAGATGCAGGGGTGGGCTGGCAGGCGACCCACTCCATGCAGGCATGGCGGTAGGGGCAGCAGGTGGACATTCATAACCCAGACACTACATCTGCATGGAAATCGTTTCTTATAATAGAGAGATGAAGAGAAGATAGGAAAGAAGAGAGAAAGAGAGAGGGGTGCACACCTTGTGGGAAGAAAAGCGGAAGGAGAGAGAGAGGAAGGGGAGGAGTTTTTCTTTACACTTGATCTTAGCCAAAAGGCCGAGAAGCAATGAGTTTTTCTTTAGAATGAGGCTTTTATGTCAAGACACAGGGTGGTGCCAAGGGGTAGGTCAGAGTACTAACATTGGCTTCTAAGGGGCGGGTCAGAATATTAACATTGGTTTCTAAGGGGCAGGTCAGAATATTAACAGACAGACTATGAAATAAGACGGGAAAATGTAAATACCACAAAGAGTATATAGTAAAAATGCTGTTGTGTGTGGAAAAGACCCAAGAAGGATTAAAAGGCAAGCTGAGATTTTAAATGGGCCTTCAACAATGGTAAAGAAAAGATGACTAGAGGCTTGGGGTAGAGTTAAGGAAGTGGGGCCTTGTATGGAGAGGTATAATAGGGATATATATATATATATGATAAATGCAAATATACATATAGAAGTAGTATGTATATATGTATAGATATATACAGATATATATATATATATATAATATATATAACACAGATAAATAAGGGGATCAATTAGAAGATGACAAGTAGTTTTGTGTGGTGAAACAGAGGGTCCATGTAGAGGAGACCTAGAACCATGAGCTAGTTATGGAGAACCTCAAATGTCAGCTGAGAATTCCAAAGGTAGAGCAAGTGAGCAAAGGGGTGGGCTAGGTGCAGGGAACAGGTGTTTGGTGTTTGGTTAACTTTGCCAGGCTCTTGCTGGTGCTTTTGGTGCCCTCATCAGTCTCTCATGCAATACTCCGAATCCTATGACCTACTACAATGCAGTCTCTTTCAAGAAGCCTTGCCCTGTCCTCCAAACCAGCTAGGCTAGGCTAGGCTCTCCTCTAGCTCTCAGTGACCACAGCTAACCATCTGACTCTTTCCAGTGGCATTAATCACAGCACCACTGCCAGGCAGGGATTGTAATCTACCTTCTTCCAAGTCCTACACGTGTTATATGCTTGGTAAATGGTGTTAAGCTTTAACAGAGTCCTCGAGTACTCTGCCTGTAACTTATGGGTACAAGACCATCATGATGCCCAAATATCACTTAAGTTAACCCGTAAACACAGTAGATGGATCAGAGGTTTGAATGCCTTTACTCAGGAATGTCATACGTTAGAATTCACTAGTCCTCATTTTACCCATGAGGCCCAGAGAGGTGCAGTAAGGTCACATGGTAAGGTAATGTTCGGGAATAAAGCATGTGAAGAGTTTGCCACAAGGTCTAACACTCACCAGGCACTTAAGCCTGTCTACCTCCCCAGACTCTTGAACTTTCAAACTTGAGCTGCTTGTAATTCCTCCCACGATTAAGCAAACTTCATTCTGTTCTTGTTTTTGCCATACCTGGAAGTTTTCTTCTTTCAGCTAGCTTCACCCAGTTAACGCCTACTCATGAACGAGGAGTGCCTTCCCTGGGAATGTGGAATGTCTCTTGCATCCTCACCTGGGGGTAGGGCAATGGCTCTCCTCTTGCTGTCCTGGTAGCCTGGACATACACTTCCATTGCTTAATTAAAATGTGCGTCTGTTGTCATTTCTGTCTTCTGCTATGCTCCAGAAGGTGGGAGCTTCGTGCTCACCATGTCCCCAGCATCTCACACCTGGAGTAGGAAATAGTAGATGTTTATAGAATGGAGGTACACAGCAGGACCTTCTCCCTCCTGAGCCACAGGCCAGAGAAGCAGTTTCCTTATCGTCTCCCTGTAACACAGGGACCCATTTGATATGTAGACTCTGATAACTTGAGTGCTTTGCAGAGACAAACTGAGCCCTGGGCCTCACTGTTTATCTAAAACACTTCTTCTCTCTCTCCCCTCTTGTAAAATACCAAATAAAAATAGTTCCAGGAAGCTATGTGGTTGAGAAACTCCAGGCTCTGCCTAAGCTCTTAGATCAAGGCTGTTATTGTTGGGCAGCTGGTCATTAATCCAACATGCCTTTTCTCTGTGCTTTGGTTTCATAGCCTTCTAAAGACACTGATCCTTTTTGTCCTTGGTTGCCCTGAAGTCTGCCACTAGCTGGTAACTGGACAAAATGATAACTTGACAGCAGTTGATGTTAAAATGATTTACAGGTATCAGCTGACCCCAGGCTCATTGTACTCTGGGCTTGTGATGTTAACCAGATGGCTAGGATCCTAAGTTTTAAAGCAGGAGGAAGAACACATACCTTACCAGATTATTGGGGGTGGGAGTAGGGGGAAATAAAACAGGAGCAGGCTCCCACACAGGGCAGTGGTATAGGGAACACTCCCTCCAGGCCACAAATCAGAGTCCTCACTCACACTTTGCTCTGCTTGGCTGTACTATGTCTGGGCCATTGAGTGTTGCCCTAGGTGTTGTATGTAGAAAGAGGAATAGTGACCAGTTGATTCCTGGAAGCAAATAGTCAGCTGAGGAATCTGGACGTGAGACTATCTAAGAAGTAGATGAAATAGTGGAGACTATTTATCCTGCATAACCAAGAAGAGAGTATGGTACAGCAAGGACTTAGGTCTTCAAAAAACTGAAAACAAATGTGGAAAAGAATTAAGCCTGTTCAGTTCTAAACTGTTGATGTTATTGGGTGCTAGGAGCTGAGGATGCAAAGTAAAAGATGACACCCGTCCCTGAGGCTTGTAGACCTCAGAGTTCTAAGAGACAAGGCCAAAGAAGCTCTTGCAGAAACCCATGGAACATACTAGAGAAAGTAGAGAAAAGGATATTTTGCTAGAAGAGAATGAACAAACTTCATCAGGAAAGTGGCATTTGAAGGAGCCTTAAAGGACAATCATGATTTCTTTAGGCAGAAAAGGAGGGCCAGGGATGGATAGCAGCAAGCACAATGCATACAAAGACACAAAAGCATCCTCTTGGGAGACCTCGGAGCACTGGGAGAGTGGCAGAAAGTGGGCATATGAAGTCTTCTTAGAGCCAGATTGTCAAGGGTCTTGGTTGTTCAGCTAAACAGTTTGCACTGTTTACCTCAAGTGGGCATTGAAGAGCCATCAGAGGTGTTCAGCGGGGTGTTTGATTTTAAAAGGGAAGCTTTAGCACAGACTGCTGTCACAGCTGTACAAAAAAGATACATAGCAGAGGCAGGAAAGACAGAGAACACAGGCACTGTGCTTGTCACAGTGGAACTTGGGCGTGTTCTTTAAACTCAGAACTTTTTGGTTTTTTTCGACTTTTGAATTGGGACATGAGTAGAACACCCCTGAACTGAAAATCTGAAATCCCAAACCTTCTGAACACCAACATGATATTCAAGAAGTTTCACATTTTGGAGTTTTCTTGGCCATCCATCCCCCAAATCATGACACAGAGATTTATTATTAATTATGAATGCTCGGTTTTATCTTAATCTTGTTCCACTAGCTCTTATAACTTAATTTAACCTGATTCTCTTAATCTATGTTTTGCTTGGGGGCTTTTTACCTGTCTTTCATTTTGTATGTCCTACTCTCCTGCTTCTCCATAGCTAGCTGGCTGGTGGATCCCTGGCTGGCTGACTGGCAGACTGGCTGGCTCCCCTTTTCTCTCTGCCCACCAGCCCCACCTGTTCCTTCTCTGCCTAGTTATTGGCTGTTCAGCTTTTTATTAGAACAATTAGGCAGGCAAGGTGAAACAGCAACCCATCTTTACATAGTTAAACAAATTCAGCATAAAGAAATGCAACACATCTTTACCTAGTTAAACAATTATTCTGCAACACAAGCCAATGCAACACATCTTTACAAATAGTTAAACAAATGCAAGAAACTCTGAAGTCTGAGTCTTCTGTTCCCAAGTGTTTTAGATAAGAGGTATTCAACCTGTAAGACACCTACTGACTAAAGCCTACTCTAAGAAGTGAAGTGAGCTGTCCCAGTTTTGTTTTGTTACTGTGATAAAAGACCCTGACAAAAGGCACATTAGTGAATAACGGGCTTGTTTCAGCTTGCAATTCCAGGCCACACTCCATTACGGGGGGGTGGGGGTGTTACGGCAGGAACTTAAAGCAGCTAGTCATAGCATAACCACAGCGAAGGGTAGAAAGAAGTGAATGTGTATACGTACAGTTCTCAGCCGACTTTCTCTCCTCTTATGTGGTTCAAGGCTCAGAAGCAGGGGGTGGGTCTTCCCACATTAATTAAGGCAATCAAGGTAATCCCTGCTAGACATGCTCACAGGCCAACCTTTCCCAGGCAGTTCCTTGCTGAAGCTCTCCTCTTAGTTGATTTGAGTTGTGTCAAGTTGACAAACTAGCCAACACACAAGAAATGGTTTGTCCAAGGTGCGTGGTGTGTGCTCAGTGAGAAGAGCATCATTTCCCCCTTTCCCGTCCTCCCAACAGACAGATCAAACAGAGTTCTGCACACCAAAGCGTAGAGCTGTGGCCAAACAATGGCACACATTCCCTGGGAAGGACTGGATACGCTAATGAATATGTTCAAGAAGGGTATTTATTTTGTAGAAAGGGAGTTGGGCCAGATAAATATCTGAAATTCATTCCTTACTCTTAGAGTCCATTTCTACTACCTTCAGGTCCTAGTACTGGGGAGATTGCCAAGAGCCTGGGAGATTTTAGTGTTGATCCTGTCTAGAGCAGCCTCTTGGGCCCAAAAGAAACGAGTCTTATTTGAATGAGCATTCATGACTACAGTATAAAATCTGGAAAGATCCTTTGTAAACTTAGCAGTCTCTTGGGAGTAACTATATTACAGAAGCAAGAAATTGGGTTGGAAGCTTAGAGGTCTGCACCCAGAGTTGAAAGTTAAGGATTTTGCTCTGTGGGCTTGAAGAGGTCATTGCTGTGTCTTGGCCTTAATGTCTCCATCAGAGATCCATCCTTGAGAGATCTTCTAGTACTGACCTTTTGGGACTCTGGGAATGGAAGTTATTAAGATCATGACACTGTGGCTATATAAACATCAGGTGATCCCGAGTGTTCATACAGCACCTATATTACACCCAGTTATTCATGTGTCTCAATCTCACAGCATCAAATTCCATTTAACACACCTTCCAAGATGTGTCACACGCACTAGGGCAAGACTCGCTTGACGTTCTTCTTAGAAGCAAAATTTGGGGGATTCAGTGCATTTCAATTCTCAGTGTTAACTTAGCTGAAATTGAATTATTTCATATTTCTGGTTGAGAGAGAAGGCACTTTCTCCAGTTTGGCATGAAAATAAAAATGTCAGTCATCTGTCACAGAGGGAAGAGATTGTTTTATCCCTGAGCTAACTTCAGGGCACAGAAGCTGCCTCATTTGGAAGCAGACAAAGATCCAGACGAGGTATAGGACAATGCTGCTTTTGTGCTCTACTCCCCTTCCTGCTAGGGAGTATCTCTGCCAGCTCCTTCTCCTCTTCTGATGGAAGCTGTCTCTCGCCTGTCTCTGGTAGAACAAATGTCTCCATTCCCAGTGCTTCCCTTGCACTTTTTAATCTTATAGCATTGATCATAGCATCAGTGTGTAATGATTAGTGCCTGTAATACCGATTCTCTTAGAAAAGCAAAGGGCCAGGCCACTAAAGTTTGATGACCTCCTGCAGTATGCCAGGCATATGCATCTTACATCATCCACGTGAAGCAGCAGTTGTTATTGCCTGTTTAACTAAGAAAAGTGATGTCCTGGAAGTTAAATGACTTACTTGGTCAAGATCAAATGGCCAGTAAGTAACTGATTCTGGCTTTGGATCAAGCTGTTTTGGGTACAAAATGGGCTTATGATTATTCACGCCCTTTTCTTGTTTTCTTGCCATCTCTGGTAACCTGAACTCTTAGCATGGGGCCAGCCTTTGGTAGACATTAATTACCATTGTTGAATGACAGCCCAATTCTGCTCAATCAGTTGGTAAAGATTTCCTGAATGGAGCAAAGCTCTGGGGGAGCTACAAAGGAGAATGTAATTGGGTGGGGATCGAGCTAGCCTTTCCTTGACTTGCAATGAGCTTCCAGAGACATCTGCTTTGAAATAAATACTCTCATTAGCCTTGTTGGTGTCTCGGCTCAGCGGGAGGCTGTGGTAGTCTTTTGACAGGGCCAGCTGGCACGATAGATTTGTTTAAGCCAAATTAATTTCACATCTTTTTAACAATCCCACTTTAAGGTCCTCGAGTCATAGAAAAAGCAGGACTCAGAAACAAGTGTCACACATATGAAAAGAACTATGCTAGAGACTCTTTAAGGCTCTAAGAGCAGAGAGGAGGGAGTGATTCATTCTACCTACAAGAACTAAAGGTTCTGTTGTTGTTTTTAATAGCATTAAGGGAAGATTCTGGGGAAATGTGACATTTGAGCTGAGACTCAAAGGGCAATCAGTTTTGTTTATTTTTCCAAGGACAGAAAGGAAAGGGTGTTCCTGGTAGAGACTGTATAAAGGGAGATGAGTGCTTCCTGGAAGTACCAGTGGTCCTCTTTGGTGGAGCGTCAATGATGAGGGGGTAATGGCGAGAGAAGAGAGAAAAATGCTTGGTTGGTGTGGTAGTGGCCCCCATGAGCTCATGGGGAGTGGAGCTATTGGGAGGTGTGGCCTTGTTGAAGTAGGTTTGGCCTTGTTTAAGGAAGTGTGTCACTGTGGGGGCGGGCTTTGAGGTCTCTTTTGCTTAAGCTTCATTCAGTGTCACAATTCACTTTCTGTTGCCTTCTGATCAAGATGTAGCCAGCACCATGTCTACCTGCATGCTGCCATGCTCCCCACTATGGTGATAATGGACTGAACCTCTGAACTGTAAGCTGCCCCAGTTAAATGTTTTCCTTGATAAGAGTTACCATGGTCATAGTGTCTCTTCACAGCAATAGAAATCCTAACTAAGACGGTTGGGCCAGAGAATCCAATAGCCTTGAATGTCTCACTAAGGATTAGAATTTATTTTGTTACCTGAAGACATTCCAATGCCCCCCTCAAGCTACAGCTTCTAAGTGTTACCCAAGTTTATTATAGCTTTTATCCCCAAAGTCATGACATGAAGCAAAGTTAGCAGCAGTGGGAATATGGTGGAAACTGAAATTCTGGATTCTAGTCTGACAGTGCTATTTAATCCCACTGGCTGCTGGCTCTCCCTAGGCTTTCTCCTAAGTAAGGTGTAAACTAGTATATATATATATATAAACTATATATATATAAACTAGTATATATATATGGTGGTGGGGTGGGTGTGGGTGTATACAGAAATATATATATTTTTAGGGCTTACTGTGCGCAAATATGCTTAGTAGTTTTGCCAGTAAAATCCCCTAGAAGGTTCGCCTCAGCTCCTGCAGTGAGTGAATCACCAATCATCTCCCCTGTTTCTTCTGCAATTGTGGGTTGTGTAGTTCATTCCATGTTAGTGTAGCTGTGGCCTGTGACTTGCTTCTAACTGGTAGAATCAGCACAGTCTGTGGGATGGCGGGGTAGCAAAGTCATATCACAGAAAAGCATGATACCTGTCTTGCAGAGTCTCTGTTACTCCTTCATTGGTTTTGAAGAAGCAAGCTGCCATGTACTGGGCTGCCTATGGTGGGAGACCTCCAAGGCAAGGAACAGAGCTTGAAGGTAGTCTCCCTGACAGCCAACAAGAAACCTGAGCTGTCCATCCTGCAGCTGGAGGAACTGAATTCTACCAAAACCACAGGTGTACAGGGAAGCAGATCCCTTCCCAACCAAACACAGAGGAGACTCCAGCCCTGGAAATTGCCTCAATCGATTCCTGACCCACAGAACCCAGGTCACTGATGTGCGGGTTAAGCCTCTGAGCCTGTGGTAATTTGCTGCATGCAGAAGTGCATTCCTGACTGCTGTCTGTTTGTTTGTAACTCCATGCTGCCTCCCTGTGGCAATCCCCAGCCAGTAGCTATGTGTGTCTGTGTGTGGTGCTTTTAGGTTTTTGTTTTATTGTTGTTTGTTTTGTTTTGTTTTGTTTTGTTTTGTTTTTCTCCACGTGGCTCATACCTTCTTATGACAATCAATGTTATGTGTTAACTTGATGGCCCACAGGACGCCCACATAACTGGTTGAGTATTATTCCTGATGTGTCTATGAGGGTATTTCCTGACGAGACCAGTATTTGGACTGAGGGATTGACTGAAGCATTTACTGTCTTGCCTGGGCAGCATGCATGCTGTTGAGGGTCGCAAGAGACCCAGAAGACAGGGGAAGGTTGCTTCTGCTCTCTGCTCTGCTGTCTGCATTGGGACACTGATGATCTCCGTCCTTCAGTGTTCCTGCTCCTCAGACTTTCAGGTCTGGACTGAAATCAACTCAGCTCTCAGGTTTGCAAGACTCTGAGATCCACAAGTAGCTAACATTCCTGTCTCTAGATATGACATAACAGAGTGAGGAACTCTTCAGCATCCAAGACCTTTATCTATCTATCTATCTATCTATCTATCTATCTATCTATCTATCTATCTATCTATCTATCATCTATCTATCTCTGTCTGTCTCTGTCTCTGTCTCTCTCTCTCTCTCTCTTTCTCTCTGTCTGTCTGTCTAGAACTAAGATGAGGGGCCTGGCTTCACCCACCCTCAGCTAGCATTGTGGCAGGCATTCAGGAAGTAGAGGTGGAATTTTATCTTCTTTGAGGGCCTAACCTTTGCTGTGTGTAGCTGAGTTGTCCCTTGATATGACAGAAAAGACAATGTCTACCCTGTTACTCACCTATCCATCTTTTCTATTGATTATATTCTCTGTAGAACCCTGAGACTTAGGGTTTATAGTCAACATTCCTATCCAAAATCCATACTTTATGGAAAATATTTAGCATGTTTCCAGCACAGCCAGAGACCATTCTCATGGTTCTGAGAAGAACCACTAGCTGAGGAAAAGGCGTGGACCCAGGACTCTGTGGATGAGTTGGCTTTCACAGCACTCTACTTGGTTTTCACAAATCTCTGAGCTGGGAGCTAGTTTTATAGAGTGGGCATCAGAGCCCTGGAGAGGTTAGGTGGCTTATCTTTTATTACATACATCATATCAACTAAATCCAAGCTCTCACTCAGTTCTTCCAACTGCAAACGGCTTAACCAACTAAGAATCCCCTATGCATGTCCACAAGTTAATAGATTCTATCAAATCTAGCAGGCAAACTCACTCAGAAAATTTTGGAGGTGTTGTGGGTGGGAGTCTGTCTGGTTCCCATGCCTATGCATCACTGAGCTTCTAATATCACCTCAGAGGTGGAGAACCAAGATGGGGGCAGGGCTGGCTTCACCCACCCTCAGCTAGTAGGTGGCAGGCATTCAGGAAATAGAGGTGGAATTTTATCTTCTTTGAGGGTCCAACCATGACTGTGTGTAGCTGAGGTGTCTCTTGATATGACAGAGAGGATAAAAAAAAAGTTGTGACAATCACACTCTGAAACCAAAACATCATCTCAGGAGACCTGATGGAAAATGCAGGCTCCAGGGTCTCCCTCCCCAAGCCTCTGAATCAGTACAGCCAGGAAGCATTTTCAACAAGATCCTCTGATTGCTCTGATACAAGTAGTCACAGACCACATGAATATTAATGGCAAAAATCACAGTTTGTCTGTTCTCTGACAGGAGTTGTTCCTAAACATCCCCACTCATGTTTATTGTCCTTTCTCCTCATGGAGAGAAGAAGCCAATGGTGTGCTGGCAAATGTTTGAAAACTGAATCTTTTTAACAACCCAAAGTGAAAAAAGAAAAAAAGTCCCTATCTGTAGCATTGGCTGGCATCTACAGTAGAAGTTCATACACCAAGGTTGATATAGCTACCACTGGACTGTCCCTTAACACCAGAGGCTCATCCTTGCCCCTTGAAAATTAGAAGGAGCTGGCTTCCCACTCACTGGAGGAAGTCCAGATAGAAGCAAGGATTTACCTCCCCTGGCCCCAGTTTCTTCACAGAGTGAGAATTCGTGAAGGCCAAGTATGCTTTCCTCAGAATGGATGTTACAGCTTAGTCTGTGGGTTATGTACGGGGCTAGAGGAGTCTGCTTTAAGATAGCAGAGCTGTCTGGATAGGGTGGGTTAGCTCTGCTCATTCCTCCTGTCTGAGGAAGGTGGGGTGCCCCCAGCCTTGGTAGACCAGCCAGGGTATGAAGGGACAGTCCTACTTCACATCTCCACCACACTTACCTCTGTGGGCTGCTGTGGAATGGTCTGTATGTCAAATTACTCTGATTGGTCAATAAATAAAACACTGATTGGCCAGTAGCTAGGCAGGAAGTATAGGCGGGACTAACAGAGAGGAGAAAAGAAAGAACAGGAAGGCGGAAGGGTCACTGCCAGCCACCGCCATGACAAACAGCATGTTAAGATGCCGGTAAGCCACTAGCCACGTGGCAAGGTATAGATTTATAGAAATGGATTAATTTAAGCTGTAGGAACAGTTAGCAAGAAGCCTGCCACGGCCATACAGTTTGTAAGCAATATATGTCTCTGTGTTTACTTGGTTGGGTCTGAGCGGGTGTGGGACTGGCAGGTGACAGAGATTTGTCCTGACTGTGGGCAAGGCAGGAAAACTCTAGCTACAGTGGGCTTGTTTCCTTGTCTTTCAACTGAGAGATACAGTACTATACTTCCAGGGCTGTTGCAGGGAATAAATGAGAAAGACTGGCATACAGTCAGGTTTCTATAAATATTTCTCTCTCCTTGACCTCATTATTTTCCCTGCCCATTGTTGCTAGAATTTCTAAAGGTCTCACCAACTCCTCAGCCTGAAAAGGCTTTCTAGCTGAAAGGCCTCTAGCTGAAAGAGGTTCCTCAGCTGAAAAGGCTTTAGTTCCTGTCTCTTCACACCTTATATACCTTTCTCTGCCCAGCCATTAAAGGTGAGTGTGCTTCCCAAGTACTGGGATAAAGGTGTGTGTGCTTCCCAAGTACTGGAATAAAGGCGTGTGCCACCACTGCCTGGCTCTGTTTCTCTCCTAGACTGAGTCAATCTCATGTAGTCCAGAGTGGCTTTGAACTCACAGAGTTCCAGACAGATCTCTGCCTCCAGAGTGATAGGATTAAAGGTATGTGCCACCACTGCCTGGCATCTATGTTTAATCTAGTTGGCTTGTTCTGTTCTCTGGTCTTCAGGCAGGTTTTATTAGGGTACACAATATCACCAGATTTCCCCTTTTTTTGTCTAAAATAATAAAAGGTTATAACTAATATAAGAATAACAATAAGTACAATAAGTATATATAATATATACAGTCAAGAATTACATTAACAATATCCAGTCCATAAACATTTGACAAATTCAGAGAAAATACTCCATTATTTATCCTATTTTGGTGATCCCAAAATGTTGTACCTAATTTACTTTTAATCCTAACTTGTATTACCAACTGAAAACTATGTCTTTCAAACTTATACATTTTACACCTCTTTAATGAGTTTCTTTTCTGAATTTGTTAACAAGAAAAACTGTAACTATAACTATCTAGTCTTCAGTTCCCTCAGAGACCTGAGAAGGAAATAATATTTACTGAGCAAGCAGGAAGTGCAAACAATCAACTTCCCCAAAAATGTGAGAAATTACAGGAACAGCTGGCTGCCTGGACAGCCACCCAAGGTTCCTCTGCAACATTAGGGCATCCATCTTTAGCCTACAGGCCTAGCATATCTGACAGATTCATCTGTGAAGCAGGATTTTCTAAAGGGCCCTCCTACCTTGTCTTGGCAAGATTCGGCAGTCCTCTCTTTTGTGTCCTGCTTGTCCATTTGGACACCATACTGTCAGCAGTTGAGGCAAGCGCACTTTCTTGACCAGTGGCTAACTTTTGCCACAAAGAAAGTAAACTTTATATGGAGTTTCTTTGATTCCCATCATCATCTCTGAAGTAGATTGGTGCTGCTGCCAGGAGCAGACATGGCTCATAGTCA